GGGGGGGGGCGGGGGGGGGGGGGCGGGGAGCCGGTGCCCCCGCCCCGGGCCGGGCCGGGCCGGGCCGGGGAGGGGCGGGAGCGGCGGGGCCGGGGCAGGTGTGGGGCGCGGCAGGGCAGGGACCTCTCTGGACCCAGAGCCCACTCGCCCGCCACCGCTTCCTCGGCCCCGCTCCGGCGTCCGCGGCTCCGGCCCTCCCGAGCCCCCCGGTGCCCACCCCGCCTGGCCGGGCTCCCTGCCTCGGCTCGGCTCCTTCCCGTCGCTCCGCCAAGGGGAAGGGGGAGAAGAAAGCGAGCGAGGCCACTTTGGGAGCCGCCCGAGTCCCGCCCTCCTCGGGCCAATGTCCCGAGGAAAGAAAATAGGGGCAAAAAGGAGAATTCTTCCCCTGGAACGTGCTGGCTGCACTGGTGGCGGCTTGTGCAGAGCAGACGTGAGGTTGGCTCGGGGGCGAGATGGGTTCTTGAGGGGGAGCAGGGACATCCAGGAGCCTGTGGATGCAGCAGACACCGGGGTGAGCACACGGGGTGAGACGGGAGCTGATTTACCCGCTGAGATATTGGGCTGTATTTTCTGGGCCTCAGACGTCCTGGGAGCAGAACAAGCTCCCGGTGCTTCCCGTTGGGTTTGGGGACATGCTGAAACCCAGAATGGAAACAGGAGCAAAGGCTGGAGCACAGGTCCCACAGAATTCCTTGGTGGGAGCAGGGACAGTCGCATCCCGGTTGTTCGCTCCATGCCGGATGTCTGGGTAAGGAAACAAATAATACAGAAACCACCCATGGCTGATAACTGCGGGTGATTGAAGTGCAGGGGGAGTGGCCTGTGGAGAATGTCAAGGCTGTTTGTGGGAAGCCGAGAGAGCTGGAAACGCTCTCGGGCTGCCCTGGATTTCCAGGAGAGGAACAGAACCACGGGCCGGCTTTCCCTTGCCCTGATGTGCCCCGGTGCAGCTCCCTCCTGCCCTCCAGTGCCGTGGGGGCCCTGGCACACCGCTGGGGCAGGATTTGCCCCACACATTCTGCCTGCAGACCCCAACCAAACAATTGAGAGCCTCGAGGCAGGAGAGCTGGGGGGATGCCCAGGCTGTGTCGTGGAGTAGGTGTGAAGATTAAGACGCTCTGATAAATCCCCACTTCTCATCACAGCCTCCAGCAGTCCTGGGTGTGGGAGGGCTCCGGGCCGGGCCTCTGTGGGGACACAGATGTGAGAGTGTGGGGCTCCGAGGACACGGCACGGAGCGCGCAGGGGCAGCGCCGCAGAGCGGCCGCAGCAGGATTTTCCCCACGGGGTCCCGGGGCTGCGGGCGGCTCCGCCCGGGACCGGCCCGGCCCGGCCCAGCCCGGCCCCGGTCGTCCCGGCTCGGCCCGGCCCGGGAACCGCGGGCGGAACGCGGAGAGCCCGGCCCGGGGCCGGCTCTGTGTCGCCCTCTGCCGTCCGAGCTCCGCAGCTGCAGCCGGGGGCTGCGGAACCCGGCCCGGACCCTGCCCCGGAGCCCAGGAACTGCGGAATCCGGCCCGGACCCTCACCCGGGGGGGCTGCAGATCTCAGGGGATCCGGTCCTGCTGCTCTCACCACCTCGGAAACAGAGCTGAGTTCACACAGGGCTGAAACCTGTTTTGTGTCAAAGGATGCAAGTGAGGGGAGGGACTGCGCTTCCCGCTGCTCCTCGGGGCCTCGAAGGAAGGAGAGCCGCTCCCATCCCTCCTGCCCTGGGCTGTGCCCGCCTGCCCACCCTGGTACTCACCTCTGTGGGGCAGAGCTGGGAGGCTGCACAGCTGGAGCCCTCAGGGTCTTGGGACAGACAGCCAGAGCCAGGCACAAGAAGAGAATTTCAGGACTCTGTGATGGAACAGAGGGACTGTGTGGAGGGGAAACACGATGCAGTTGCAGCAGGAACACTCCTCTTGCCTCCAGGAGCTTTTCCTGGTTAAAGTTTGGATGCACCCCTGTCTCTCAACACCCCAGAGCTGGCAAAGGCTGCCAGGGTTTTAGAGGACCTGGGGCACCTGTGAGAGGAACAAACAGCTCCCTCCACCTGCAGTACTGAAAGGGAAAATCTCTGGGCCTCCTCCTAGGCTGGGATGGCTTCCCTGGAACAGGGAATCCTACCCTGCCTGGAGGAGAGCACTTGTGAAGGGGAGAAGACCAGACAGCAGAGGGAGGGACCCCTATTCTTGCTTTGCCATCATTATACACTGGACAGTGTCCTCTTGGCCTCCAAAAAGAAGACAGACTTCTGGCTCACTTTCAAATTAGGTTTTTAATTAAATAAATAACGGTGAGGGGTCTTCAAGGCAGTGTCACTTCACAGTGTAGGGCTGGGGGGCGAGGGAGAAAAGAGTCCAGCATTGGGAGCGGCTCAAAGTGAATGTGCTTTGTAAGAAGGAAAAAAGAAAACCCCAACAAAAAAAAAACAGAACCAAACCTCCTCCCCCAGTAGTGACTCCCCCTCCCTGTTCCAGCCTTTTTCACCCCTCTCCTCAAAGTTTCGTGGAAAAAGCGCCGCACTCATGTTGAAAGACCCCATGCAAATCTGTAAACAACACTGAAGGACATGAAGAGATTTCTGCCTCAGCCAGCTCCCCTCTCCTTTTACTAGGGCTTGAAATAAACCAAAAGAAAAAATGGTTTCAGGAAAAATAAGAATGTTCTCAGCTGATGGAGGAGATGCCAAGGCCTGGCCCTCCCTGGGAGGGCTGCCTGTGCTCTCACCCTGCCTCTTCTTCTCCCTTCAGCCAAGGAGAGTCCTCTCACCTCCAGAAAAGGGGAATCACATCCTGGGCAGTTCCACTGTGGATCAGACATTCGTGTTTGCTTTCTGTTCCCAGCAGCTGGGAGCAGCTGGAGGAGAGGCCCCTGCCCACCACATCTGGCTGACAAAGCCATGCCCAGGTGAAGGCAGCTGCATGTGCCTGGGGCTCAGCACCTCCCAGCACAGAGCTGGAGACCGAAGCAAATCCCTGCTAAAGCACACAAACCAGATCTGGGGCTTAGGAGATGAGATCAGGTCTAATCCTGACATCCCATGGAGCTGTTTGATGCTGTCTCCATGCTCCTACTGCAGGGCTGAGCACAACTTCCCAGGGCCAGGTAAAAGGAGGATGCAGGCTCGTGGGTTTAGGTACCTGCCAAATTCACTGGCAGCAGAGCCAAGTGCACAATCACAGCCCCAAGGCCTCTACCAAAGCAAGCAAAAACCCTCAACCCAAGCCCCTTCTCAATGTAAGAACACAGCTGGAAAAAAGGACTATCTACACCAGAACCTTGCCCAGCAGGTGAGTGGAGAGCATTTCCTGCATGGAAAAAGGGGAATGAGAACACATTGAGCCAGTGGCCAATCCCAGTCCTGGAACACACCTGGGAAGTGAAGCAGCTTTGGATTCCAGCACACCCAAGGACAGGCTCCCATGGCTCTGCACAGCACCTCGTACCTCCCTGAATGTGGCAGAAAAGCCACACTTTCCTCTCAGAACAGCCTGTTTTGTGACACAGGGAGGGGCAGGGATGCCCAGGGATGCTGTGCTCCCCTGCCTGGGACTGTGCTAGCATTCATATCCCAGGCTTCACACCCTGGGAGCTAAGCAACCTCCTCCCTCTGCTGACAAATTGTTGGAACAAACCGGGAAGTTGCAGGTGTTTTCACCTGCATTTTACTCTCTCGCATTGTGGCTCAGTGAAGATCAGGTCATCCCCTGCCAGCAGCAGCACCACAGCTCTGGGCCAGCATCACTGTGAGTCTAGAAACTCCTGTAACTCCCCACAGAAGTTCTCCCTGGCCCAGCACGGCAGGGGAAGGTGAGAACAACTCGAGTACACACGATGCTGGATCCCTTTCCAAGACCTGACACTTCTGCCCAAGGGCTGGGCCAGGCCACATCCCACCTGCAGCTGGTGGAGGAAGGAACACGTGGCTGCTGGAGGGGGAAGCAGTTGGGTGCCTGCCTGCCTGTCATGACCCATGGCTGCTGGGAAAAGGACAGGGTGAGTGGCTCCTACACACTGCCTATGGGAGAAGGGCCAAGACTCATCAGCCTCCCTTGGCATCACCGTGCCCATCTCTGCAGGAAACTCCCAAGATCTTGCACCCTCACCATGATGGCAACACATCCCTCTTCTCAAAGCACCTCTGCCCTCAGACTGTCCCGCTGGGGCCAAGGGACATGTCCCCTGTCCCGAGGCAGGGACTCTCTGAGCGGACTGGCATCACCTGGGGTGACACATGGTCAACGTAGGAGGGGGGTGATGGACCTCCCCACTCAGGAAAGCCAGCCACCACTTTGCACGATTGTATCAGGATACACTGGAGCAGAAAGGTGTTTGGTTTCACTGTAGCCTTGGATCAAGGAGGATGGAAAGACGGATTCCGACCAACAGCTCCAAACTGCCCCTACAGGGCAGTGGAAGTTCCAGAATTTCACTCAGTCAGGTCAAAGTCCTTGCTGGGTCTGTGACAAATTTGTGACTGGAGACTCTCACTGTGACAGAGGCTCTGACCGAGCCACAGGTGCTGGGCAAGCCTGATGAGCAGTCAGGAAAGTATTTACATCTCCAATGCCAATGAGACCAAAATCTGTGACCGATAAGGACACTTGCGCAGGGGCCACCACTGCCTCAGGGTCTCTGTCCAAATCCACAGGGCCAGCAATTAAAGGCAACCCCTCGTTAATGTCTGCAGGGAGAGTGAAGTCCATGGTTATTGTCTCATCAGAGTTCTGCAACGTCTCCTGCTTCTCTGCCAGTCCTGGTCCTGCGGGCGGCAAAGCAAAGAGCTCCGGCTCAGAGGGGGTGCCAGTGTGGCGTGGGCAGGGCACAGGGACAGCGCCCGAGGACGTCTCCTCCG